TTAACGTCCCCTTGAACACATCTATCTTGGTGCGGGCTATTTTCATGAAGGGTCTCCCAAGTAAGATCGGCAATGGTGTAGAATGGACTGAATCTTCCATGTCAAGCACATAAAAGTCCACTGGAAAGATCAAATTGTTAACCTGCACCAAAACATCTTCCAAAATTCCTTTCAGATATGCATTAGAACGATTGGCCAATTGAATAATCACACCATCTTTTTTAAGCTCTCCTAAGTTCATAGATGCATAAATTGATGACATTAATTGAAGTTCCTAAGTCTAACATAGCATGTTCAAACTTAGTATTGCCAATAACATAAGGTATTGTAAAACTACCCAGATCTTTGCATTTAGGTGGTAGTTTCCTTTGTAACACCGCATAAACATTCTCACTTACTTGGACCACTTCCTTGTTCGAAATCCTCTTCCTTGTTGTGCAAAGCTTTTTCAAGAATTTGGCATACTTAGGAACTTGCTTGATTGCATTAAGGAGCGGGATATTGACTTGAACTTTCCTAAAGGTTTCCAGAATGTCTTTCTCATTCTCTTCTTTCTTTGATTGCCTAAACCTGCTAGGAAAGGGCACATTTAGTGGAATAGAAATAGAAAAATTTGAATTTGGACTTACCTTGGTGGTTTGGGATGACTTAGGTGCACTAGAGGGTTGCGGCAAGGGTTGTTCTACCCTTGCTATGGCTTTGTCTACTTCTTCTTCTTCTTTAAGCAACAGCTTCATCCTCTTTTTGACTTGCTTTGGTTGGTTTGGGGTTGGTTCCAAATTCCTTGCCACTTCTCAAGGTGATAGCTTTAGCGGTTTCAAAACCTCTCTTTGGATTCACAACGGTTGAACTAGGAAGTTTGCCTTGTTCTCTAAATTGCCCAAGGAACTCTGAAATCTGCTCCATTTGCTTCTCCAATTCATCCACCTTTTTGGCTTGATTTTGCATTGCTTGGGTTTGATTTTGGACTCCCTGTGCCAAAGTGGTTAATAATTGAACAATTTGATCATTATCCATGGACGAACCTATTTTTGGTTGGGCAGATTGTGGTTGGTTTTGAATTGGTGCGTATGGCCTTGGAAACATCCGAGGGGGTGGTGGACGAAATCGTCCTTGTTGTTGAGGTTGATGAGGCTCCCTCCACTTGAAATTTAGGTGATTTCTCCATCCCAGATTGTATGTATTTGAGTATGGATCATTCATTTGCTGATTTTGGCCTTGATAACCTATGGCATTGGCAGATTCCCATCCTCCATTCTCAATCAATTAAGGGCATTGCTCAAAGGGATGTCCTTGCATGGTGCACACGCCACATACACTTTGTTTTTGCACTTTGGATCTATTGGCAACCTGAGATACAAGCATAGTGAGGTTAGCTAATTGAGATTGAATTTCAGAAATTGCACTTATCTTATTCACTTGTTGTTGCCGTAGGGGGTCTCTTTGTCCAACTCCCTCTTATTGTTGTGCATTCAAGGCTCGATTGGCAATTAAGATCTTGGCAGCCACCGGTGTTTTGTCAACCAAAGCACCCCCTGCCGAGGCATCTAGCATGTCTCTTAATTAGAAGGAGTCCCTCGTAGAAATATTGAATTAAAAGCTCTTCCTTCATTTGATGTTGAGGGCATGATGCAGCTAGAGTTTTGAGACGCTCATAGTACGCTGGAAAAGACTCCCCTTGGTTTTGTTGGATTCCACTAATCCTCTTCCTCAAACAAATGACTCTCGAAGTTGGGAAAAACTTCTCTAAGAGTGCTCTCTTCATGCTTTCCCAAGAAGTGACGGTTCCGGGTGCTAGTTCATAGAGCCAATCCTTAGCCTTTTCTAAAAAAGAGAATGGAAAGGCTTTTATCTTCAAAATGTTCCCATCGACATTGATAGCTGTCATGCTCGAACATACCACTTCAAACTCCTTAAGATGCTTGTTTGGGTCTTCCATGGACAACCCATGGTATTTGGGAATGTGATGCAACAAGCTAGACTTCAATTCAAACTCATCGGTCTTGCCTTGAGCTGCCCTAAGGTATTGAATGCATAAAGGCACGGCATTGTCTAGTCCCGAGGCTGAAAGTTCCTTGATTGTTCGATTATCCGCAGCCATGGCTTGTTCTTCTTCTTCCACTTCTTCTTCTTCTTCTTCAGATTCGGCCTCAGAACTAGGTGGACTAGGTTCTGGATGCCTTCTCTTTCTTCTCAACGTTCGTTCAAAATCGTCGTCTCAGGAACAGGTTGAGAACTACAAGTCATAAACTAGTACCTAAAACAAAGCAAACAAAACAAAATAAAAGCAGAAAACAAAACAGAAACAAAAGAAAAACACACTCCACTAACAATTTTGCTAATCCCCGACAACGCCGCCAAAATTTGATGTGAAATTAACAAACACACAAATTAAAACCCTATAATTGTAGTATATGTAAGTAGGGATCGTTCTAGGACGGGGATTAAAAGGGATTGCTAATCTAATTAAAACTGACTCAAAAACACAAAACTAGACTTAAAAACACTTAACTAGACTCAAAACACTAATAGAACTAAACTTAAACATATTCTAACTAAGTTAAAACACTAAATATTAAAGAGGGATTGATTTTGACAAAATTAACTAAACTAGGCAGATTGCAAAACTAAACAGGTTAGACACGAAATTGGTTGAATTGAATGGGTAAAGGCTAGCTAGAGGGTCCTTCTCCACACATGCACATATGAAACACAAATTGATTTCCAGTTATTATTCATTTAAACCATGAATGCCAATGCCCCAAATTAATCGTGAGAAGCACAAATTAACTTTTAGATTTTCCCAGTTTCATTGAATTGGATGGAATACGCATCGACAACCAAATTATTCTTATCAAGTTCCCTACATGAACATCATAATAGAGATACAATCAAAGATCATTAAGCCTTGTGAAAATCATAAGCATTGACAAGGCATTCGTAACTATGAACTGCATGATACTCTTGCCCAGAATTTACTTAACAAAATCATGACTAGTGACTTTTACTACTTGTGAATATAAGTTCATAACGATAAGGTGAAATTCCCTTATACTCTAGCATCAAATTCATGCATGAAAACTAAGTATGCATCCTTAATCATCATACGAGAACATGTTCTCAATAAATCAGTTAAGTAAATTGCATTCACAATTCAAGAAACAATAACTGGAGGAAATCAATTCATATAAAACATATGTCTATGGCTTCGAATTCACCTCTAACTAAGAAAAACTTAGTTACACATGTTCATAACAATTGAAAAGCAAATTAAAATAAACATGGAAACGAAATGAGGGAAGAAAGAACTCTGAGAGTCTCCAATGGATGCAGGTGGCTTGCGGCACAAAGTCCTCATTCTCCTATGGAAGCCACGGCAAACTTCTTCTTCTCCCAAGGATGCGGCACAAGATGTATTTCTGAGTATATGGTGTGTGGTGCCCTAATTCCTGCGGCAACATAAGTATATATATGTGTGGCATGGCAAACCCTAGAGATTAGGGCTTGGACTTAGTAGAAATAAAGGATTAGGGCCTTAGGGTGTGGCACAAGGCTTGGGAAAGAAGTTATAGCCCATTTAATTTCTAATATGGACCTGCAAAATCCAAATCCACAAGGAAAATGGCCAATTCAAATCAGAATCCAAGAGGGAAAAGGGCAATAAGGTGGAACAAGATTAGGTTAGGATAAGGTTTGGATAAGATAAGGTTGTTTGGATAATGTTCCATATTTCTTTCTCTTTCCTTATCTTCTTTGTCTTAAACTTGTTTCTCCAGATTTGTAGCATGTTCCTAGCCGCTTTTGACTTCAAATTCATCCATCCACCTTGCTTCATATGCAAGCTATCCATAATAAGCCCAAAACTGCTCCAAATAGCTCCAAAATGCACTTTCTTGCTTCTTTTTCCATTTAAACCTACAAACACACGAAAATAGCTTAAAATACTAAAATAAATGGAAACTAACTATGTAAATGCAGATAAACAAGCTAACTAAGTCGCATAAATATGCTCCTATCATTCTTCTTCTTCTTCAAGGCAATCTTTTGTGCCACAAAAAGGTCCTATTAAATAACATCATCTTCCATTTCTGGCAACTCATATCCCTTCTCAACCATATTCCAAAGGTCATGAGACTAGAAAATGGTTATCATTCTAATTCTCCATTAGCCATAGTTTTCTTCATCAAACACTGGAGCTTTGAGCTCACCTTCACTCAATCCTTTTATCTTGGATTTGAACTGACACTTAGGGTTTCAACCTTTACTTGAAAATTCCCAAAGATGGTGATTGTTGATGCAAATTTCCGCCATCTTTAGTCTTTACGAAATGCACTTGCAAAACAATCAACACCTTTGATCAATGACCAAAGCCTCACATGCCCACGAGGTAGGGGGGTTAGGCTAATGAATCTCCGATGCCTAAGTCAATTTCTCTGAGGAGAGTAAAGTGTTTAGGGCTTTTTTAGGGTAGCAAAAACTTCATAAATTTGGTAGAATATGAGGCATATATAGGGGAGAGGGCCGACCATAGTGTTAGGGTTTTACCCTACGCATGGTAGCATCCTATTAGCCAAGATTTATGGAGAAATATTCTCAAGATATTAAATAGGAAATAATATATTGAGATGTTGGAGTAATTATCCCTAATTGAATTAAATAGGGATTACTTGATTGAAGTCAATCTTCAGTTGAGAATGTATTAAAGACAGGATTTGGGTGATTAATCCTTATCTTTAAAGAAAAACTAATGAAAAGGACTTGAAAACCTTTAGTTTTAACGATAAGGACAAAATAACTATTTTGGTCCCAAGAACAAAAAAATGGCCCATTTATGTCATTCCCCTTATTTTTTTGTGTGTAAGTTCTGTTTTGTTTCTTCTCATATTTACTTCCCGTGTTTGGTTTACAATCTTAGATAAGCAAATAAGTTTGTAAAGGGATATACATGTCACCAAACCTTTACTGGTCCGCAATAAAATGTCAAATACTGGATCATGATCTGTTATAACATATAGTTTTATTCAAGATGGGACATGGTTTCCAAGAAGAGGAAGCCCGTGTTCAGCTTTCTATATACAAATGATCATTATTTTTCCTTCACCGTGACATGAAGCCAGGTATATATATGTATACATATTTGCTGTATCATGGTGACCCTTCCTGGGACTGAGTTTCAATTGGTGTAGCACAACAATCGCAACAAGAGCCTTGTGGTGCAGGTGCGCAGCATACACAAGCTGGACATATAGGAGTTGTATCTGAAAAGAAAACCAAATACAGAATCAACATTTCATACACATATGCAGATGTGCTTATGTTGGTTATCTAAGTTCGAATCTCCGTTTTCGTAAATACAAACAGGTGCAGAGATATGAAATAATATAGGTGATGTGAATTACCTAGAAAAACGAATCGAGCTGCCTCTGGGGTTGAAATCGGAGAGAGTACGACGGCAAAGATGAAGAGGGTCACCAAAGCAGACCTCATAGAGCCACCTGCCATTAGTTCTATGTTATTAGAAAACAATAACAAACTTGTTGGGATGAGGTGTATATGTAGGTTGGAGCGCGTTGTTTGAATAGGATGGTTGATTTTTCTTCTCAGTTTACGGAATTAGACTTTGATGCAGCGCTTGTATGTTGACGTTCTAGAATTTCAATACAGTATACCCCATTAATTAATTAATTCTAGGATATTATTCGTGGATTATCAAACATAAGATTTGCAGATGATCCGTAAATTGTCTAAGCTATAAAATATATGAATACTGACAGGGTAGTCAATTACGGTTTGAATTTGCGCACCTGTTAAAACATATGAACATGCATTAGTGTTGTTTGGCAAAAACATTTTCAACATATTATCACTTACTATCAAGTCGTGGAGTGCTTATCACTTCAATGGAATTCTCCCTAAACTTATGAAGTTGGTTTCCCTGCTGATGCTAAACCATAAAATTGGTTGATTGCTAGTGTTAGCATTTTGATTAGGCAAACCCTAGGACTTAGAATCTCTGGAGAGACTAGAATGTTTAATCATTAATCAGTTTCCAACCCAATATAGTACTAATTAGTGTTTGGGCTCACTTCACAATATTTTATCCTGACCAAAACCATTAATGTTTTAGATCTTCATTCAAAAGTCACCATTACCATCCAAATCTATCAAAATAGGATAAATTAGTCCAGATTCTTATCCGTTTAAGGGAATGTGATATCACTTGTAATTAATTCCTACCACATAGGGGTTTTCTCTAAACTCTATATATTGTAAACTTTGTACATAATTAATTCAAGGAGTCATATTTCTACAAAATCGGAAGTAATTTAGTCATTTGATTATTGTCATGAACATTTCATGTGTTTTTTGCAACACTGTGTCACAATTAGATATTGAAAATGTTCATCAATGTTGAAGCACTAATCAGTTAATATCTTAATGGTGTTCTAATCACTCATTTGACCTTGCTTCACTATGTAGTCTTATGATTTGAACCGTTCAAATTTTTAGAATATCACTACTAGATCATACTTGCAAAAATTCATGTAAATCGGAAATTACTTAGCTCTTTAATTATTATTATTATTATGAACATTTCATTGTTTATCGACAACTCTATCTTCGTCTATTTTTTGTTGAAGTACAGACTCCAAGCTCTTTACTTTCTTCAAAAATCATCAGAACCAATTTCAGATTTCTCAAAATTTGAATCTATTTTTGGGTATTTGGTAGATTTTTTCAATGGTTTTTCTGGGTTTCTTTTATAGTTTTTGAAATTACGGAGCATTGATGAGTATGAAGGGATTGAAGTTGCTTCAATTAAACTAGGTCAAGCTCTATGACCTCCTGCAGTGCCCTGAAGATCTTGAGAGGCTCTACTAAATCCACCTCCTCAAAACATCGAATCACAGAAACATCATGATGTTCTACCTTTCCTCGGTTGATACTGGCAAAAGAAACATCAATTTTGTCACTGACATGTTCGCCTTTGGGACTTAAGCAGTGTGTATTTTGTGATTTTTTTTTTTTTATAAAATTTTTATGATTTTGTAACTGAAATGTTCACCTCGCTCACTGCGTTACTATAATAATTGCTGCTTCATAAATTATCATACTTGAATCTAATATGAGTGCCCCTTCGCAAATTTTGTTGGTTTGTCAAGTTGATTGATTGAAATAAGGGAAAACTATTTACTTAGAAGGTTAATATGTGTTTAGATTTCAATTCAATTTTATTCGAGTGGGGACACCAGAATTCATGGCTTCTGAAGTATGTGAAGAGGGAAACGAAGAAGATGAAGAAGGAAGCAGTAAAACTCAGTTGGGTCCTCAATGCACTCTTAAAGAACAGATTGTGCTCAAATGTGGCAAAATGTTGCTTATTTTTACATCATTTAATTTTCTTTATGTCATTTTTATTTGCTGCACCGTTGGTTGACTTTGTTGTTTCAGGATGATGGGGACTTAGAGCGTTTGAGGGGGATGGAGCATCTTCTTATGACTTTGAACCTTGACCTGTCAACAATTCAGGGCTGCAAGAGTTGACCAAGAGAAAAGAACTCAATCACGCTAAGCCTACATGACCTCATTCTGTATGTAATACTTCCACCTACGAAGTACGGATACGGGAGCAGGAGTAGAGATTTGGAGGCAATTCCAATTTAGAGCATGAAAGTTCAAAATATCCCGATTTATAGTAGTAGAAAGGGTAAAACATTTTCCTTTAGGATTACAACATTTAATAGGTAATCTAATCCTAATTGGAATATATAATACTTTCCCAGATTCCCTAGGATTTACACAATCACATTTCTATTCTAAGTATGACTGCAACACTCGCCCTTAAATATGTAAATACTCAACAAACCATTGATATCGGATCAGATCTTCAGCAGATAAGGTAGAATAGTTGATGAAGTTATCGGCACAACGGGTGATCGCGAGTCTCAAATTTACTTTGAAGTATGCATTTGTAAAAACTCATAAAAACCTTGCTATGGTAAAGCCCAAGGAATGGGGAAAAGCCATAGACTAAGGAGGAAAGTAAGAAAATATGCATAATGTCTAAAACGCTCGTCAAACTGGATGAAGGTAGTGAACTCAACGGAGTATGATCATCCTAGGATGGGTGCCTCGTTAAAACCTAGTTAGGTAGAAAAAAACTAGTGGGAAAAATGCTCCTAATCATAGGGGAAAAGAATACCTTAAGATCATGTGAGTATGCTTCAAGATACTCCCCCTGAGTTAGACATAACTTCTAAATAAGAGAACTACAAACGATTCAACTCAGATAATTTACGCATACCGATTCCTTGGACGAGCTTCTGAAATGTCGACTTGGGCAATGACTTGGTAAAGAGATTAGCCAAGTTGTCTTGGGAACGGATTTGCTTGACTTCAATGTTTTGATGCTGCTGCTGCTGCTGCTGCTGCTGCTGGTGTGAGTAACAGAATTTCGGCGCTATGTGTTTGGTGTTGTTTCCCTTGATGTATCCCTTCTTCAGTTACTTAATACATGCTGCATTGTCTTCAAAGATCGTCGTAAGAAGGTCAACGACTAATGTAAGACCACTAGTGTTCCGAATATGTCCCATAACTTCTCTCAGCCAAAAACACTCACGCGATACTTCATGCAGGGCGAGAATCTCAGCATGGTTAGACGAAATCGCAACTAGCATTTTCTTGGTAGACCTCCAAGATATAGCGGTGTCTCCAATGGTAAAGACATAGCCCGTTTAAGAACATGCTCTATATGGGTCAGACAGATATCCAGCATCTGCGTAACCAACAAGGCGAGAATCAATCTAAGAGCTATAGGGGGCGGCAACACTCGGAGATTCGCGAGTATAGAATAATCCCAAATCCGTAGTACCTTTGAGATAGCGAAAAATGTCTTTAACACCATTCCAGTGTCTGCGTGCAGGCGCATTGCTGTATCTAGCCAATAGATTCATAGCGAATGAGATGTTGGGTCTAGTGCACTGAGCCAAGTACAATAAAGCCCCAATTGCACTTAGGTAAGGAACTTTGGGTTCCAAAATCTCTTCCCCATCCTCCTTTGGATAGAACGGATCTCATTTAGAGTTCAAACGACCATGGGTGTACTCGAAGGCTTTGCATTATCCTCATTAAAACGATGCAACACCTTTTGGGTGTAGTTCGATTGATGTACTAGGATTCCATCCGAATAATGCTCAATCTCCAGGCCGAGACAGTATCGAGTTTTCCCAAAATCCTTCATCTCAAATTCCGATTTTAGGTGTGCAGCAATTTCCTCAAGCTCTGCGGGAGTCCCAATGAGGTTCATGTCATCGACATAAACTGCAACAATTGCAAATCCGAAATATGACTTCTTTATTAACACGCATGGGGATAGTTCGCTATTCACATAACCCTGACTTGTTAAATATTCACTCAGACGGTTATACCACATCCGCCCGGATTGTTTCAATCCGTAGAGCGACCTCCTCAATAGAGTGCTCCGTGGTCTAGAACTATTTGAACCAGTCAATGAAAGTCCTTCTGGAACTGTCATATAGATTTTTGTATCTAGATCCCCATAGAGATATGCGGTTACCACGTCCATAAGTTGCATATTCAATTTTTCGGAAACTACCAAACTGATTAGGTAGTGGAACGTTGTAACGTCCATTATGGGGGAATACGTCTCCTCAGAAGCCTTGCGCTTCAAGGCGTGCTTTGTATCGCACTATTTCATTCTTCTCATTACGCTTTCTCATGAAAACCCACTTGTAGCCAACAGGCTTCATGTGTGGCGGTGTAGGAACAATATGTCCAAACACTTTACGTTTCGTGAGCGAATTGAGTTTGACCTGGATTGCTTGTTTCTAGTTTGACCAATCGGTTCTACATCAGCGATGGAACGTGGTTCAATGTCATTGCTAAGCATGATGTCAGTAGCTCCTGAGTACACGAATGCATCGTCGATGATCATCTCATTCCTATTCCAAACCTCATCCAATACTGTGTAGTGGACCGAAATTTCGTGATTCTCAGGAGGTCGGCATGTTTCATCTAAAGCATCATTGTAATCTAGAATAACCTCATGCGTTGGAACGGATGAGTGAGCGATGGTCGGATTCAAACTAGGGTCACTAGTTGGTGCCATTTCCTTTTCCGGGGTTGTGAATCCTTTGAACCAAGGAGTCTACCACGCTTCATGATCGGAGCAGATGATTGGCTAGCTGCCAATGTACCTTGCTGTGTGAAGGGTATGGCATTCCCAAACAGGCAGTTGATGTACGTGGGGTACATTTATCCTTGCAAGTGTTTGCAGCAGATCTTGTCACCTTTGCTGGATCATTAAAAGCATCCGGCATGCTTTGAGTAATGCTCTAAAGATCTATAATTCGTCGCACCTCAATTTCAGACTAGGTAGTGCGGGGATCTAAATGAGACATAGTGGGAGTATACCACGACAATTCGCGGTGTTCTACGGGAACGTTATCATCTTTATCTCCCCCTAATAATGGGAAGACTATCTCATCAAAGTGACAATCTACAAAATGTGTGGTAAAGAGATCTCCTGTCAAGGGTTCTAAGTATCGAACAATTGATGGTGAATCATGACCGACATAGATTCCCATTTTTCTTTGAGGACCCATTTTGGTATGTAGTGGGGACGCTATTGACACATAAATGGCGCACCCAACCATCCGT